AGGTAACGTAGGAATGATTCGGCAATAAAATAGATACTAAAACTCGAATTATAATACCACATTGCCACGTAACACTTTATATCCTCGTTCCCACCTTTTATCGGCACGATTTTAAAAATTATTTTAATCCGTTTTGTATCGATTTTCCGAAAGAAACACAACCTAGGTCAGCTAAATTTTAATTCGCTCGCCGATAAAATCTCCGCCTTTCCTATCTGAGCTTTAGCGAGGTAAAAATTTCATTTTTTATTCTAGGACAAATTAATTAGCCACGGTTTCATTTACCTACATTAAGTTCCGAATGTTCGTATTTTTGAATACATTAGCATTAAAACCTAGTAAAGCGAGTTACATTTTCATTTAATTTAATAAACTTCGATCTGGCTTTGTACGGAAAGAAGAAGTTAGAGGCGCGTCGGGAGCCGGGATTATTAAACATTAATGCTCTTGGATTATTGAATAAAACATACTTACCTCAGTGTTGACGCTTTTGGCCAAAAACGGTTACGTCAGAGACGAGTTGACGTCACTCGGCTGGCAGCTCTATGGTTTCGGTGACCTTGAGCGCGTGATATGTTTAGAGAAATGAAACGAGGGTCATTTTCCAGGTACTTTATTGCATTATCTGAATCTGATAATGCCTAATGTACATACAATACAATAATTCATATGATAATATTAAGATATGTTTATACAAGAATGGTAGATCTCGGGTAACACTTTTGGTACTTAACAAAATAATGTACAAATTTTGTCTTAGTGTAATAGAATTTTGATTTGCCTGCAACAAAAACAAACAGTGTTCCTGTGCCAATGCCATAACTGAACATATAAAAAAGTGTTCGATTAACATAACGAAAAATATATATTACATAAATAAGCTAACAAAAAAGAAAAAAAAATAGTAATAATAATTATGTACACATAATTTCATTACGTAAGAACAAAAATATGGCAAAACCTATAACACAAACACTAATAATTAAATTTAAAAATGCAAATTACTCTTTAAAAAACGAGAACATTATAAAAATCAAGATTAACACATTATGAATGACTTGTTCGCACGATAACAGAAGGGTTTTCGGGATGAGACGCGAGTTAAAGCACTGTGCTACGTCGAAAATACGTCGTATCTGGCTGGTATAAAAAATTCAAAAATCTTATAAAAATTCTCATGTCGCTCCTTTTCTTGTCAAAAATATGTATCTAAATGTACGTTATCTCAATCAAAAAAATAAATAAATAAACAAAAAAATAAAAGTCTCAATCTCAGTCTCCTGTTTTTGAAAGAATCTTGGGGCCCCTTGGTGTTCTATTTTTGAAAAATTAAAAAAAAATCTTGGTTGCCTTTGGTTTTCTAGTTTTCAATCTTCAATTTTACATTTTTTGGAGTTTTATTTTTCAATTTTGTAATCTTAATTGTGATACTTTTTTTTAATCGTCGGAAGCCGGTGAAGCTTTGTTTATAAAATGGATATTTCTCTATAAAAATTGACCATTTTTTAAACATTTTTCTCAGAATAGTATTTTCTGCAATACGATCATGACTCAAATATATGGACTTTGCATTTAAGCTCTGCCCCTCGATCTCATAACCAATAAAAAATTCGTCACAATTGTAATCAGGCGGGTGGGTGGGGCTTAATTTTTTATTTATTTTTATTAGTATATGTAGCTTTTTTTCAACGGTATTTAAAATATGTCACATGATAATTTCTTGGAGAGAAATATGGACTCTGCATTTAAGCTCCGCCCTCTGTCTCACGACGAATAAAAAAATTAATCACAATTGAGATGGGGCGGGTGGGTGGGGCTTATCCTTTGATTTTTTTTTTTCGTATTACACTAGTCTTCTTTCAACAGTAAAATACTTAAAATATCAGAGAGTGAATTTAAGATTAGAATTATGTATTAAGTATCGTGTTGTTGAAAAAAAAAAACATTTTTTTATTTTTCCAAAATGGATATTTCTCCATAATTTATCGACTTTACGGTTTTCCGATTTTAGGTTTTCTAGTTTTGAATTTTGAATTTTCTTATTTTACTTTGTTTGGAGTTTTTTATTTTTTGATTTTGTAATTTTTCGATCTCCCAGATTTTTGATTTGCAGTTTTTCGAAATTTCAACTCTGCATTTGCTCAATTTTTCAATTTGTAGATATTTTAATTTTTCTTTATTTCAATTAATGGAGAATTGAATTTTTAATTTAGTATTTAAATTTTTCAAGAGCTAGTTTCATTTTCCCAAATTCTAATTTTTAACTGAATTCAAAAAAAGCAAATTTATTAAAACTGAAATGTTCACGATTTTACAGTTTTTGTGTTGTTCAATTTTTATATATTTTTTTATTTATTTGTTCTTATTCTCTCGATCTCCTTTTATTTAAGCTCTGCCCTTCGATTTCATAACCAATAAAAATTCGTCACAGTTGCGATGGGGGGGAGGGGGGCTTAATTTTTTATTTATTTTTATCAGTATGTGTAGGTTTTTTTCAACAACGGTATTTAAAACATATTTGACAAGATAATTTAGAGGTTAGAATTTTAAATAATTTTTAAGCCTATACGATTATTACAAGAAAACAACCAAAGGTAACCTTATTGACGACCTTGGTGTTTTGTTTTTGAGAAAATATAAAAAAACCTTTGGGGCCCTTGGAGATTTGTTTTTGAAAAAGTTTGAAAGAATCTTAGGGAACTCTGGTATATTACTTTTGAAGAATTTAAAACCGTTTTGAGGGCTTTTGGTATTTGGTTTTTGAAAAAATTAGAACGAATTGTGGGAATCTCCGGGTTTTATCTTTTGAAAAATTTGAAAGGATCTTTGGAGTTTTTGATCTGTTTTTTTTAGACAAAAGTAAAACACGTACTTAGAATTTTCTTTTTAAAAAAGTTTGAAAAAATTTTGGATCAATGGTGTTTTTATTTTTTGAAGAATTTGAATTGAGCGAATGCTGAGGGTTCCTGGTGTTTTATTTTAGAAAAAAAAAAATTAAAGTCGCAATTTCAGTCTCTTGCTTTTGAAAGAATCTTGGGGCCCTTGAAGTTCTATTTTTGAAAAATAAAAAAAAAATCATCTTGGGGATCTTTGGTGTTTTGTTAATGAAAAAATTTTAAAGAATCTTAGTGTTCTTCTGTATTTTTATTTTTCAAAAAATTTTAAAGAATCTTGGATGTCTGTGTGTTTTTTTCTGAAGAAGTTGAAAAAAATCTTGGGATAAAAATGCTGTAAGCTTCAATCTAATTTTCCTATTTTACATTTTTTTGGAGTTGTTATTTTTTGATTTTGTAATCTTAATTGTGATACTTTTTTTTAATCGTTGGAAGTCGGTGAAGCTTTGTTTAAGAAATGGATATTTCTCTATAAAAACTGACCATTTTTTAAACATTTTTCTCAGAATAGTATTTTCTGCAATACGATCATGACTCAAATATATGGACTTTGCATTTAAGCTCTTCCCCTCGATCTCATAACCAATAAAAAATTCATCACAATTGAACTCGGGTGGGTGGGTGGGGCTTAATTTTTTATTTATTTTTATTAGTATGTGTAGCTTTTTTTCAATGGTATTTAAAATATGTCACATGATAATTTCTTGGAGAGAAATATGGACTCTGCATTTAAGCTCCGCCCTCTGTCTCACGACGAATAAAAAAATTAATCACAATTGAGATGGGGCGGGTGGCTGGAGCTTATCCTTTGATTTATTTTTTTCGTGTTACACTAGTCTTCTTTCAACAGTAAAATACTTAAAATATCAGAGGGTGAATTTAAGATTAGAATTATGTATTAAGTATCGTGTTGTTGAAAAAAAAAACATTTTTTTTATTTTTCCAAAATGGATATTTCTCCATAATTTATAGACTTCACGGTTTTCCGATTTTAGGTTTTCTAGTTTTGAATTTTGAATTTTCTTATTTTACTTTGTTTGGAGTTTTTTATTTTTTGATTTTGTAATTTTTCGATTTCTCAGATTTTTGATTGCAGTTTTTCGATATTTCAATTCTGCACTTCCTCAATTTTTCAATTTGTAGATATTTTAATTTTTCCTTATTTCAATTAATCGAGATTTGAATTTTTAATTTAGTATTTAAATTTTTCAAGAGCTCGTTTCATTTTCTCAAATTCTAATTTTTAACTGAATTCAAAAAGAGCAAATTTATTAAAACTGAAATGTTCACGATTTTACAGTTTTTGTGTTGTTCAATTTTTATATTTTTATTTATTTATTTGTTCTTTTTCTCTCGATCTCCTTTTATTTAAAGCTCTGCCCCTCGATTTCATAACCAATAAAAATTCGTCACAATTGCGATGGGGGGGGGAGGGGGGCTTAATTTTTTATTTATTTTTATCAGTATGTGTAGGTTTTTTTCAACAACGGTATTTAAAACATATTTGACAAGATAATTTAGAGGTTAGAATTCTAAATAATTTTTATGCCTATACGATTATTACAAGAAAACAACCAAAGGTAACCTTATTGACGACCTTGGTGTTTTGTTTTTGAGAAAATATAAAAAAACCTTTGGGGCCCTTGGAGATTTGTTTTTGAAAAAGTTTGAAAGAATCTTAGGGAACTCTGGTATATTACTTTTGAAGAATTTAAAACCGTTTTGAGGGCTTTTGGTATTTCGTTTTTGAAAAAATTAGAAAGAAATTTGGGAATCTCCGGGTTTTATCTTTTGAAAAATTTGAAAGGATCTTTGGAGTTTTTGATCTTTTTTTTTTAGACAAAAGTAAAACACGTACTTAGAATTTTCTTTTTAAAAAAGTTTGAAAAAATTTGGTGTTTTTATTTTTTGAAGAATTTGAATTGAGCGAATGCTGAGGGTTTCTGGTGTTTTATTTTAGAAAAAAAAATTTAAAGTCGCAATTTCAGTCTCTTGTTTTTGGAAGAATCTTGGGGCCCTTGAAGTTCTACAGCTCTATGGTTTCGTTGACCTTGAGCGCGTGATTTGTTTGTGCGTCGGGGTTAGAATGATAGAATGAAACGAGGGTCATTTTCCAGGTACTTTATTGCATTACCTGAATCTGATAATGCCTAATGTACATACAATACAATAATTCATATGATAATATTAAGATATCTTTATACAAGAATGGTAAATCTCGGGTAACACTTTTGGTACTTAACAAAATAATGTACAAATTTTGTCTTAGTGTAATAGAATTTTGATTTGCCTGCAACAAAAACAAACAGTGTTCCTGTGCCAATGCCATAACTGAACATATAAAAAAGTGTTCGATTAATTAACATAACGAAAAATATATATTACATAAATAAGCTAACAAAAAAGAAAAAAAAATAGTAATAATAATTATGTACACATAATTTCATTACGTAAGAACAAAAATATGGCAAAACCTATAACACAAACACTAATAATTAAATTTAAAAATGCAAATTACTCTTTAAAAAACGAGAACATTATAAAAATCAAGATTAACACATTATGAATGACTTGTTCGCACGATAACAGAAGGGTTTTCGGGATGAGACGCGAGTTAAAGCACTGTGCTACGTCGAAAATACGTCGTATCTGGCTGGTATAAAAAATTCAAAAATCTTATCAAAAATTCTCATGTCGCTCCTTTTCTTGTCAAAAATATGTATCTAAATGTACGTTAAATCACCTGATATGGATATGGCGAATCAGGACAATCGCTATTAAAGCCACAAAGACACAAAGTTTCAAATGCTTCTACGAGTGCCAGGAAAAAGTTTGTGGTATACACATCCGACAAACCTCAATGTACAAGCATTTCTACATCTCACTGTACTAATCTAGTCTACAGGCTTGAATTGTTCTAAGTTTTAACATTTTGTAGTATCACAGACAGGCGCTCTCAAATAAGACGAGGAGGAAACCTCTTAAGAAATCGAGAGAGCAAACGCGTTAAGGAAAATCACGCAACTTACGTAATTTACCGTGAAAATAATCGCCAGGTGCATGTAGCGCGAGGTGGAGCGGACCCACCTCGCCCGACTCCGACGTCACCCGGCGACCACTCCACGGTTTACTTAAAATTAAGTAAACCAATCACAGTAATCATGTAATTAAATCGTTGCCTAAATACTGCTGCCATTGCTACGTCTCCAGGGATGCGATTAAATTGTGATAAACGTTGTTCTGCAGTTCACTGAACATGGACGCGTGCCCGCAACTGAAAGAATTCGAGTCCGTCTCACTCTGGCCCGCGAACCTCAACCTCGAGTCACTCGGTATATTATTATTGATGAAGTTCACACTAAAGTCACCCTTGTCGCCCTCCTCGAGCTTGGCCCGCTTGTGCGGCGCCGCCCCCTCGCCGCCCTCCTCGTCGTCGTCGATGCACGTCAGCATCCTCGGCGTCGGCGGCATGTACAGCTGCTTGAGCACGTCCTGCACGTCGCAGTCCTCCATCTCCTCGAACGAGCGCTTCCGCGCCGCCTTCTCCTCGGGCGCCGGGCCCGCGAAGCCGCCCTCCAGCCCCAGGTTCTCCTCCACCAGCCCGCTGAACACCTCCATGTTCTTCACGCTCACGATCTCCTCGGCCAGCTTGGCGTCGAAGTCGCTCTCCACCGCGAACTCGTGCGCCTCCTCGAACTCGCGCTTCTCGTTCTTGGCGAACTCGCTCTTGATGTTGAGGATGTTGTCGTTGTCGTAGCAGCGGGGGTAGTTGAGCTGCTGCTTCTGCACCTTCTCGTCGCGGGCCTCCTTCTGGAGCCGCTTCATGGTGTTGTTGATGAGCACGGACCGACACAGGCTGGACTCGGGGTCCTCGATCTTCTTGAGTTTGTTCAGACTAATCTTGAGCACTTTCCGACGTTCTTCCTTCTGGCGGTACTTGGCGGAGATCATGGAAGGCCGGTTCTTGGGCGGGGAGTACCCCGTGGGGTACGTACGTGGAGGGCCGAAGATATCGTCGCAGTCGTCACTCACTGCCGGAGGAGATTTCATCGTGGCATCCACGGGGGTCTCGGTTGCTGGAAAAAACCAACTATCAAAATCGAAATAATCACTTGGAGGTGGTGAAGTATCGATAGAATCGAAGTACGATTCATCGAAATCGTAGATGGCGTCGCCAAGTTTGTACAACATGGTGATGGTGATGGCTTAACGAAAAGACGAAGACTGGTAAATTTAAGGGATTTTCGTAAACACGATAATGAGGGTTTCGAAAAGATAAGGACTCGTACCTGATTGGTGGACGGCCAGTACAGGTAAATTATCCCGCAAAATTTCCGCTTAAATGAACAATGAAAACAATACATTCAGTACAAATTGTATTAAACATTTTTTTAAATCTGGTTTTTACAGTTACATTTTCACGACGTAAACTTTGCGACCGCTGTGTTTCGTGAAAATTAAAAAAAATCGGGCGAATTTCTTGGAAATTCAGACTACTCAATTCTTGGAATCCACAAATTCGTTAAGTAGGTAGGTAGTCGAGGGTGCATTTTAACGAGTTCGAGGAAACGGAAATTCGTCAATTGTTAATTAAATAGACGAAGTTCAAATGTGTGGTTTTTGGACGAGAAAGTGTCAAAGTGAAGTTGGACCGCTTTTTGGAAAGAAATATTTTGGTTTTTTGTGGACAAAGTGTTGGTGGAGTCAGTGGTACTAAGATGATTTTCTGGAGGTTCTGTTAGTCGTAAGTTTGGAATGTGGGAATCTTCGGGTTGTTTCTTTTGAAAAATTTGGAAGGATCTTCGGAGTTTTTGATTTTTTTTAGACAAAAGTAATAAAACAAGTACCTACTTGGAATTTTCTTTTTACAAAAATGTTCTGTTATTGAAAAAATTTGAAAGTTTTCCGATTTCAGGTTTTCTAGTCTTCAATCTTTAATTTTTTGATTTTGTAATTTTTTCGAACTATCTTAATTGTGATACTTTTTTTTAATCGTCGTGAGTCGGTGAAGCTTTGTAGCAAAATGGATATTTCTCTATAGAAATTGACAATTTTTTAATCATTTTTCTCAAAATAGTGTTTTCTGCAATGCGATCATGACTCAAACATATGGACTTTGCAATTAAGCTCTGCCCCTCGATCTCATAACCAATAAAAAATTCGTCACAATTGGAATCGGGCGGGTGGGTGGGGCTTAATTTTTTGTTTATTTTTATTAGTATGTGTAGTTTTTTTTCAACGGTATTTAAAACATATTTCACATGATAATTTCTTGTAGAGAAATATGAAGTTTGCGTTTAAGCTCCGCCCTCTGGCTCACGACGAATAAAAAAATTAATCACAATTTTTGTGGCTTATCCTTTGATTTTTTTTTTCGTATTATACTAGTCTTCTTCCAACGGTAAAATACTTAAAATATCAGAGGGTGAATTTAAGATTAGAATTATGTATTAAATATCGTGTTGTTGAAAAAAAAAATTTTTAATTTTCTAAAATGGATATTTCTCTATAAAAATTTACCATTTTTTAAATAGGTTTTAAGTATTTTGTTTTGAAAAGAAAACGTACATCAAGAAAAAAAAACCAATTTTTTAACTGACAATTTATCGACTTTACGGTTTTCCGATTTTAGGTTTTCTAGTTCTGAATTTTTAATTTTCCTATTTTACTTTGTTTGGAGTTTCTTAATTTTTGATTTTGTAATTTTTCGATCTCCCAGATTTTTGATTTGCAGTTTTTCGATATTTCAATTCTGCACTTCTTCAATTTTTCAATTTGTAGAAATTTTTGTTTTTCCTTATTTCAATTAGTCGAGATTTGAATTTTTAATTTAGTATTTAAATTTTTCAAGAGCTCGTTTCATTTTCCCAAATTCTAATTTTTAACTGAATTCAAAAAGAACAAATTTGTTAAAACTGGAATTTTCACGATTTTACAGTTTTTGGGTTTTTCAATTTTTGTATTTAATTTTTCTTAACTAATTAATTTTTAATTGCTTTCACCGCGTTTATTTATTTATTTGTTCTTTTTCTCTCGATCTACTTTTATTTAAGCTCTGCCCCTCGATCTCATAACCAATTAAAAATCGTCACAATTGAGATGGGGCGGGTGGGCGGGGCTTAATTTTTTATTTTTTTCTTCTTAGTGTGTGCAGTGCAGTTTTTTTCAACAACACGATACTTAAAACATATTTCACATGGTAATTAAGAGGTTAGATTTCTAAATTATTTTTTATGCCTATACGATTATTACAAGAAAACAACTAAAGGTAACCTTATTGACGACCTTGGTGTTTTGTTTTTGAAAAAATATAAAAAAAATCTTTGGGGCCCTTGGAGATTTGTTTATTAAAAAGTTTGAAAGAATCTTGGGGAACTCTGGTATATTACTTTTGAAGAATTTAAAGCAGTTTTGAAGGCTTTTGGTGTTTCATTTTTGAAAAAATTTGAAAGAATCTTTGACGTTTTTGGTCTTTTTTTTAGACAAAAGTAAAACACGTACTTGGAATTTTCTTTTTAAAAAAAGTTTGAAAAAATTTTTGAACAATGGTGTTTTTATTTTTTGAAAAATTTGAATTGAACGAATGCTGAGGGTTCCTGGTGTTTTATTTTAGAAAAAAAAAAAAAAAATTTAAAGTCTCAATTTCAGCCTCTTGTTTTTGAAAAAATCTTGGGGCCCCTGATGTTCTATTTTTGAAAAATAAAAAAAAAAATCTTGGGGATCTTTGGTGTTTAGTTAATGAAAAAATTTTAAAGAATCTTTGGGTTCTTCTGTATTTTTATTTTTCAAAAAATTTTAAAGAATCTTGGAAGTTTGCGTGTTTTTTTCTGAAGAAGTTAAAAAAAATCTTGGGATAAAAATGCTGTTAGTTTCAACCTAATTTTTTTTTCCTATTTTACATTTTTTTGGAGTTGTTATTTTTTGATTTTTTATTTTTTTCTTAATCGTCGTGAGCCGATGAAGCTTTGTAGCAAAATAGATATTTCTCCATAAAAATTGACAATTTTTAAACATTTTTCTCAAAATAGTATTTTCTGCAATACAATCATGACTCAAACATATGGACTTTGCATTTAAGCTCTGCCCCTCGATCTCATAACCAATAAAAAAGTCGTCAATATTTTTATTAGTATGTGTAGTTTTTTTCAACAACGGTATTTAAAACATTCTGCATTTAAGCTCCGCCCTCTGTCTCATGACGAATAAAAAAATTAATCACGATTGAGATGGGGCGGGTGGGTGGGGCTTATCCTTTGATCTTTTTTCCTATTATACTAGTCTTCTTTCAATAGTAAAATACTTAATACTTACTTAAAATTTAAGATTAGAATTATGAATTAAGTATCGGGTTGTTGAAAAAAACTATATACCTTAAGAAAAAGATGTCAATGATTAAGCCCCACCCACCCGCCCTATTTCAATTCTGATGCATTTTTAATTTTCCTATTTTACTTTGTTCGGAGTTTTTAATTTTTTTGATTTTGTAATTTTTCGATATTTCAATTCTCCACTTCCTCAATTTTTCAATTTAGTATTGAAATTTTTCAAAAACTCGTTTCATTTTCCCAAATTCTAATTTTTAACTGAATTCAAAAACAGCAAATTTATTAAAACTGAAATTTTCGCGATTTTACAGTTTTTGGATTTTTAAGAATTAAAAAAAACCTTGGGGCATTTGGTGGTTTGGTATTGAAAAAAATTGAAATAATCTTTGGGCTCTCGTGTATTTTTATTTTTGAAAAAATTTCAAAGAATCTTGGGGATGCCTGGTGTTTTTTTTTAAGAATCTCAGAAACACTTGATTTGTTTTTGAAAAATTTGAAAAAATCTTGTCCTTGGTTTTTGAATTATTTAAAAGAATATTGGAGTTTTGTTTTTCAAAAATGTACAAAAAATCTTTGGGCCATGGAGATTTGTTTTTGAAAGTTGAAAGAATTTTGTATTTTTATGTGAACAATTTCAAAAAATGCTGCGAGTTCCGGGTGTTTTATTTTCGAAAAAATTGTTTAAGATCTCAAGAACACTTGGTGTCTTGTTTTTGAAAGAATTTGAAGCAATTTCAGGGGTCTTTGGTGATTTGTTTTTGAAAAAGTTTGATCGAATCTTTGGACTTTTTGATCTTTTTTTTAGGAAAAATGCAAGAGGTACTTGGATTTGTTTTTACATAAGTTGGAAAAAGTGTCAGACCAATGGTATTTTTATTTTTGGAAGAGGTTGAAAGAATTTTGGGAATGTCTGGTGTTTTTATTTTTTGAAAGATTTGAATTGACCGAATGCTCAGAGTTCCTGGTGTTTTATTCTAGAAAAACAATTTAAAAGTCCTAATTTCAGTCTCTTATTTTTGAAAGAACCTAGAAGTTTAAGAATTAAAAAAAATCTTGGAGGCATTTGTGGTTTGGTATTGAAAAAATTTGAAACAATCTTTGGGCCCTCCTGTATTTTTATTTTTGAAAAAATTAAGAATCTTGGGAGTCGGCATGTTTTTTTCTGAAAAAATTGAAAAAATCTTCGGGATCCCTGGTGTTTTTTTAACAATCTCAGAAAGACTTGTGATTTGTTTTTCAAAGAATTTGAAAAAATCTTGTCTTTGGTTTTTGAATTATTTAAAAGAATATTGGGGGCGCTTGGACTTTTGTTTTTCAAAAATGTACAAAAATCTTTGGAATTTGGACATTTTTTTTGAAAGTTGAAATAATTGTTGTTTTTATGTGAAGAATTTGCAAAAATGCTGAGAGTTCTTGCTGTTTTATGTTGGGAAACCCAGGTATATTTTTGAAGAATTTAAAAGAGTTTTGAGAACTTTTGTATTTCGTTTTTGAAAAAATTTGAAAAAAATTTGAGTGTCTCCGGATTTTATCTTTTGAAAAATTTGGAAGAATTTTTGGAGTTTTTGGTCTTTTTTTGACAAAGGTGAAAGAAGTACTTGGAATTTGAAAAAAGTTGGAAACAATGTCGGACCAATGGTGTTTTTATTTTTGGAAGAGGTTGAACGAATTTTGGGAAACTCTGGTGTTTTTATTGTTTGAAAAATTTGAATTGACCGAATGTTCAGGGTTCCTGGTGTTTTAAGTATTCT